GAAACTAACATTTCAGTGCGATAAAGTATTTTGTTTTAACTCTAAATCCTAATTTTTAGTGGAAAAAAGATTTTAGTTAGGTTATGATTTTTTCACTTATGAGAAAAATGTCCTATGAAAAATCCAGAGTTTTGTACAAGATTAAGAAATTCTTGTCTCCACACAAGCTCCTATATGTTGCTGAAACATTACTTGTATGTTATTTTGTTTTTATTTAAAAGATATTTGCAGTGGAAACAAGATAAAAGTACTAGGTGAGACTTTTGTTTTTTCAGTGCAAGTAAAGTCAAAGGAAGCCGTTATTTTTTCAATCTTGTTTAGTTTGTTCTGGGGGTTTTAGAGGTTTATGTGTTTGACAGTCTTGATTAAAATCATAAAACTTCAGTTTAAAGTTGTGCAGAAGCTCAACCAGGTTGAGAGAACCAAACTTTGTTAATTCTCCTACCAGTTACAAGTTTAATAATTTTCTTTCTGGACTTATTATCAATTTCCACCCTGGTTAAAATCCAGGAATATTTATTTGTGGGTTTCTTACTAGCTATATAAAACTCAACGAACATTGAGCTGCAGATCAGGTTTTTCTTCTGTTTCATGTATCTCTGTTTTATCCTGCTGCACCACCTAGTGGCGAGAAAAAGAACTGCAAATGAATCACATCCCAGGTGTTTTCTGTTTCAGTTCTTGGATCTGCTCATGGCAGGATGTTGGGCAAGACTGGACACCTGGCAGGAAATTTATTTATTGCAAGATCTTTTCATTTTTGATTGCATTAAAAGTTAAGTTGTTGTGCTCTATGGTGGAAATTAGATTTTAGTAAAATTTTTATAATTTTCTGCATCTTGTTTTAATCCATTTGTATTCAGTTTAGTAGTTTGTCACATCCTTGGTGCTGTCATGTTTTGTTGTGTTGTTCATTTGAAAATGTTTTTTTCATTCATTTGTTACTTTAGGATTTTGTTTAGTTTTTAATCTTTTTCTGACCATTTTTATTGTTGAACCTTTCTTATTTTTTAAGCACCGTCTCCAAGTTGCTTGACTCTGCAGATTGCTTCCATTCAGCAACTACAACAACATGAGCACTTTGTAGGTTGGAGGAGCAGTACTTCTGGGAAAATTTTATCTACAAATCATATTCAGCATTCCTCTTAAAGATGTAATTCTTAATATTTCTCTTGCACCTAATGAAATAGTGGGACTCGTCCGGGATTTGAACCCGGAACCTCTCACACCCGAAGCAAGAATCATACCGCTAGACCAACGAGCCACTCACTGACAATGTTTGTGAGGGTCTGACCAGCTTTTTCATTAAGCCCATTTAAACTCCCTTAAGACAACTGAAATTTTTTACAAAATATACTCACTATATTTATATATTTTGTAAATCACTGAGTATATTTTGTAAATCATTTCAGTTGTCTTAAAGAAGTTAAATGGGCTCATCTGCCCAAGTTGAGAAAAGGTTTATATTACTCTCCAAACCTTTATATATACATAAGTGTGTGTGTATATCTATTTTTTATATATATATGTGTGTGTGTGCGTATGAATTTCAAATTTATACATACAGTGAACCCTCCCTATAATGCGGTTTCACGGTCTCGCTGCTTCACGGATTTTAATCCTGCAATGTATTCTGCATTCTGATTGGCTAAACAGTCTCTTCGCTTCTTCTTTACATGTGTCAATAACGTTGCGTTTTAATATGAACACGTATGTAAAACAGCTTGCCAAATATAAGTTTGCAAAGAAAAAACTACCTATAACTATATTCTTCTCAAGAAAAAACTGACCTGCACCGCGTGCTTTGGAAGAAAAAACCACGACAGAGCGGAGTCAGGATGCAGCTGCAACACGCGAGTCACTATTTGTCCTACTGCACTTTGTATTTTTTAATTTTCATAATCATTTTTTATTTTCTCCCGTTCTAATCCAATGACTCGGGTCGCGGTGGGTGCTGATCTTCGCAATTTGAAGCCTACGGTTCGTATTTATGATTAAGATTATTTTACAGTACGTTTATACAGAACTTTTATTTGTTAAACAAATGCTTCCGTCTGTAAAAAGGTTTGGTTTTATAATATCCATTATGAAATACTCCATAATGAATATCGCTGATTTCGTGTTTCACGGGTTCTTTTTGGAACTAAATGAGGGTTGGCTGTTCACTATACATATGTGTGTGTGTGGAACTAAATGAGGGTTGGCTGTTCACTATACATATGTGTGTGTGTGTGTGTGTGTATATATATATATATATATATATATATATATATATATATATATATATATATATATATTGTCTTCCCTCCGTGTCCTCGCCTTCTAGTGGTCCTCCCTCCATATCCTCGCCTCCGAGTGGTCCTCCCTGTCCCATAAATATTAGGTCTTCTGGGATCTTTTTCTTTTTTGAATTTAATATTTTTGGCTTCTCTCCAAAGGCACCTTTATCATCTTCCAGAGGAGGGGCTGGATAACTATCACATCAGATGTCACAATTTCTCATAAACAAAAATGAAGCCATTTCTGGAGATGTCCTCACTGCATTCACTAAAGTCCACCCTGAAGACATTTTTGTTTGTGGCCTTGGTGATTTGTCCCCCTTTCAATAAATATGAGTAGAAGTGGGTCGGCTCTGATCCCTCACAGATAACAGAAGACAGGTGGTACCTTTCAGTACCACCTTTACATTCAACAGGCACATCTATGACCTGACTGGAAACAGTACGGTGTTTCCTTGTCAGCCTATGGAGAAAAAACACTAGGACCTTGTTGTTAGTAAGGCAGTGCTTTCTGTGTAAGGCCGACCCGCACACCGAACAACGGCGTTTTCCCCGCACATCCAACCAGTAATACAAGAGTGGCAATACTGGTTGAAAATCTCACCGGTGGTAGGGAGAGCAGGGAGCCGTTTTTCAGCAGCTCAAGAAACATAGTGCCACAGATAGAGCAAGAGTTGTTGTTATACAACTCTCTATCTGTGGCACTGCCGAAAGAGTCCAACCGGACCATAGATGACTCCGACAAACATTTTATGTTGAAGTCCCTTCTGAAGTCTGATGGCTGATACCTGTCCCTCAGCTCCATCAAAACAGGGGAAAGATCCTCCCGACAAAAATGTTTGCCGAGTTCGTGGACAGCAGAGAAGATGAACCTCGTCCAACTGGGGATGGACGAAGCCTCCAGAAAGTCCCTTTCCTGAGCAAGACACCTCCTGGTGACGCCCAGGTTCAGGACATTCTGGAGAGCAGCGTCCACCCAGCTATAGTGGAGTCCATCCTCTGCTTGTCCATGGCCTACCAATGCTGTCTTCTCTGACTCTGGGAAATCTAAGCCGACTCCTTCTTCTTTTTTAATGTCCAGGGGACAATCAATGTCAAGCACAATGGTAATTCTTGTAGTCAGAGAAGATCTTCAGTAAAAATGATCTTTCTCATCCAGGGAACTTCTTAATAGAAACGTCCTTGTGTGAGAGGTGTGGAGAGGAGTATTGAAAGCAAGGGCCAGCGATGGGACCAACGAAACCAAAGCTTTTTCTGTGACTTCAGCCACAGCTTTGGCCGCGAGGTCAGCCACAGACAAATCTTCCCCAGCCGGGGGAGACTTTTCTGACACTGTGCCCTTGCCCTCATGTTCTGCCGTCTTTGAACAAACTGACCCGGCGCTGGGTCAGTTTGTGCGTGGACAGTCGGATCCCCCTCAGGACTGTCTCGTACAGAGTCCATCACACCGGTTGTTTGCTCTGAGCAAACCTCCCCAGCTGGGCAGGTTTGCTCAGAGGCAGTTGTGTCGTCCTCTGTACGGATAGTCCTTGAGGGGTTAGAGGCCGAGGTCCCACTCACACTCGCTTCACAACAAACCTCCCCCTCCGGGTCAGTTTGTTTTGTGGCAGTGGATGTAGGACCCTTCCAAAACAAATCCTCCTCTCCACGCTGATCGTCATTTTCTTCTGAATCCTTCCTTTCTTCGGAATCCTTCCCGGCAAAGGATGAAGAAGCTTACTAGCTTCTATCCTGGTGGTTACCGCATATCCGATGCCCCAACCGAGGGGGATGAACAAGGGGACAAGTGCCTTTGCTAGTTCAAACATGATTTCTCTGTACAACTCTTGACTCTCCACGAACTGTCTTGATCTGGCTGATGCTTTCAGATTCAATCATTTAAGCATCAGAATCTCTTTGATCTATTGTGATGTACACTGATGAGGTAATTTATGATGAGGTCATAAATAACCCTAATTGGAGTTATGCAGTTGTGAGGGCTACTCAACTGATTGCTTCTTAACTGAAAAGGGTCATAACTTCTGGACAGTAGGTAGTTAGAGCTAGACAAGTCTCTCTCAACACCAGCTTAGACAGATTGTTCCTCTTAGACCTTCTGCAGGGTAACCAGGTTTCAGGAACTTTCCGGACCCGTTAAGACAGAGAGCTGGTCAGTAGTCAGCCCAGAGGACTTGTGAGGATTAGGGCGGGGCTGGCTATTGCATAATAACCAACAATAATCATAAGGGTCAGAGGTGAAATGAGCGTTATTAAGTAAGGAACTTCTTCATCTGTCACAAATTTTGTCCAGTTAAATTTGGGAAGAAGGGCGGGTCTTTATCTTAGTACGGCTCATTTGAGTTTTGGTCTTACATATTCTCAGTTTTGTTCGCAGACATTTTCTTCTCTTCTACTGCAGAGTTACAGAAATCGGTATTTTATGGTATTATTTGAATAATAAGCTTAAGTTTTTATTGTGTTTCATCTTTATATTTTTTATTATGTATATATTTTGTGCTTTTTAGAACATGGCAAGTGATTCCCCCTTAAAGCTCCCTAAGTTGACGGACCCTGAACTGAAGGAGGTTGAAAACACGGCCCAGTCGCCATGTGTAAGTATTTTAGTTGGTAACTAATTTTAAAAAGTGTTGTGTTTGGAAATTTGTGTATGAGGTTGTGTAGTGTTTAGTTTGAATGACAGTAATTCTTTTTGGATAAAAAAAAAACATTCCTGTGAAGTTATAGAGAATACCATAACTTTCACCTGGAGTGGGGACATGTGAACTACAAACGTAAATTGTAGTTCACATGACAGATGAACATAAGTTCAGGGGTGAGATAAATGTAAGATCGGGGAGACAGAAGAACGAAAGTTAGAGGAAGACGCAAGCGTTAGACCAGGATCGAACCGAGAGGAGGGCAATACGGGAAAATAGTAATATTGGAGCACGGCTGAAAAGGTGGGTAAAATAAACTGTACTTTCCCAGCCAATACAGGAGACTTGATAGGTAAGTGTTGTGTTCCGTGTTTTTCTATTGTTTGAGTTTTCTGTGTCCTGAGTCTCCTCGTTGTCCTGTCTTCCACTTGATTACTCTCAGGTGTGTCTTGTTCCCCTGATTATCCTCAGTGTATTTAGTCCCACCTGTGTCCTTTGTTTCTCATCGGGTCCTTGTCGTTGTCACTAGTTGCATGCTGTTGTTTTGCTCTCCGCCTGTTTGACCTGTTGCTACTGGTGTGAGCCCTGGCTTCCACTCAGCCGTGCTACCTGGCTGCGGTCTTACTTGTTTGTTTGATTGTGTTTTCTGGACAATTCTTGTTATTAAATTTCCACCACTCACCTTACCTGTTTTTTTTTTTTTTTAAACTGAATGGTTGGTTGACCTAACATTTTATATGCTGAGATTTGAATGAGTCTTTCACAAACCCATTCACAAAGTGAAAATAAATACTTAATTCAGAGGCAGCCGGCAGATGATCAACATCTGCAAAACATTTTATAAATTAAAGCAGTTCTGATTATTAAACATGAGTTAAAATTAATATTCCAGGTAAATAAAATCATTTCTTCCTTCCAGGTTTGGGTAAGCATCCCATCGTGGAGAACTTGAGTGCTGACCTCTCGCGCAGCGATAAATGGGAGTATTTCTTCGTTTCTATGGGGGTTGAGGTCCTCAGAGGCAAATCCACAATACAAATGGGGTTTGGCAGGAAGGGATTCGCATCGGTTCTGTTAGCAGCACCGGGCGACCCAACAGGTTCGTCCTGATGGTCTATTCCAAGTCCTTCCAGGTGTGTTTTAAAGGTGGCAGTCTGCTGCTCCAGAGAGCTGAAATTCTCCTGAACTTTGTCAAACTGCAGGAAGAAATTTGTTTTAGATGGTTTAAATAACAGGGTTTCTGCTGCAACTCAAATTTAAGACTTTTTTAAGACCACCATGAATCAAATTTAAGGTTTGTATCATGTCAATGATGTACAAAGGGAAATGCCTTAACTACTGTAGGAAAGAATGTAGCAACAAAACTGCTCCAAATAGTGGAGAAGCATGTTCTCCAGCCAAATGGTGATAAATTTGCACTTAAAACCCTGACAGATGCAACAAGCTAACTAGCAGTAGTTTCGCCTACCTTTTCTTCTTCAAATTTTAACAGCAGCTTGCATCCATTATTGATGCACTACTGCCATCTGTTGGACCCTAAAAGTTCTTCCTCAAATTCTATTACTGAGCCCAGTATTTAAAAAAAAAAGAAAGAAATACCTTCCCTTTTTCTTCCTTGCTGAGCAACTGCATTCTCAAATTTCAATTCTCTATTAAAACGTATTTCTGTTTTCATGTAATTTTCTTTGATTCACGCATTTCCTGCAGCTATTTTGATGATTATGTGTACTCCCCTTTTCAACACTCAATGCTGATATTAAATCACTACAAACTATTATTAGTATCCTCCACCCATTCTAAAGCTATTAGTATAGCACATAATTCTATTGCATAGTCAGATCATTAGATGTTCTTTTTGTAATATTAATCTTTAAATCAGGAGTCACAACTGCTACACTTGTCACTTCAGTTTTTGTATTTTTCAAATCATCAGTATAAAGATATTTATATTCATGAGAAAAAATAATAATTGCAAATAATCATATTTTTTCTGTATTCGATTGTAAAAAATTTTCGCCTCCCTCTGTTTAAACTGAAACTAATATACATCAGCTAGTTAGCAAGGTGTATATTAGCAGCCAGCATCATATGGGTTGGTAACAGAAATGACCCAATGGCAAAGACAAACATCATCCAGTCAATCAAGCTAGTTTTTCTCCTGACTTCATTTACACTGCATATATATCTTCTAATATACAGTTTCTGGATAGCAAGGGTATATCAGCCCACTGCTGACAAATTTGCACTTAAACAATGACGGACATTCACTATTTTAGCTGGCTACCCAGTTTTTCTCCTCTCTCTGTGCCCATTGCATTTGTATTAGCAGCTTCTTACCAGCTGCCTCGAATCAGAGAATCCAATGAAGAAGTGACTCAAACGCCTGCCTGGCAGAAAAATCTTACGAGAAAAAAAGCTACATAGAATACGTAAAATTAATCTAGGATCACAAAATCTAGGACTTGCAAGTAATGTATTTAAAGCTAATTTAGCTTATTTTTAAATGAATTTAAGATATTTTAAGGATGCCCTGACACCCTGAATGAATCTAATCATCTTTTCTTTCAAAGTGTAAAGTACCTGTTCAATGTTGGACTGAAGCAAAAGCTCGGGCCAGACAGACTCGCAGCAGCTGTTCACCTTGGTACTGATGTGAGCGTGACTCCAGGTTAGTTCCTGAGGAAGCAAAACAAAACACTTTCAGCCCAAAAAAAAAAAAAAAAACAGAAAATATCAAAGATTTGTTGCGTTGGGAGGAAAGTTGCACCTGTAGGAGCTGTGTGCAGCCTTTCAGGAGAGCCTGACAGGACTGCAGTTTGGTCCGGTACTGAGCCAACACTGACACCAAGCTCTGGGACACAAAGTGACAAGCTAATTAATGATAAAATGTTAATTATTGTTAATTAAGCAGTAGAAGTCATTACTGCTTACCTCGGCATCTTCCTGAACCAAAGTCAGGTCTCTGCTGCCCTGGCTGTCGTTTTTGGTGAGTGTCACTCCAGCGTGCAGATCCTCCAGCTGGGTCCAGACTCCATCCAGACCCTGCAGCAAGTCCTCAACGTTGGACTCAAAGTCCCTCTGGACCTGGACCAGAACCTGGAGGGATGCTGTCCTGTAAGAGGAGAACGAGTCTCAATCATTCACATAATGAAAAATTTTTTTCTTTATAATTTGACTTGCGTCATTTGTCACTTTGGGGTCTTAATTCCTTTTGGATTACTTTTTATTGTTGAACCTTTTTTTCCCACTTTTTTAAGTATCATTCCTCAGATGCTCGACTCTCCAGATTGCTTGTGTAACCCAAAAGGAAGGTTACTTCAAATACACTTGATAATTGTAAACGGCAGGTAAATTAATTTACTTCAATGACTAATACCAATACTATACAAGTATAAAGAAAGTTGGGCCTGATCAGAAGATTCTAAATTTAAGGGAGCCTAGGAGTGAGCAACAACAGAGGAGAGTACACAGTGACTATAAGAAAGAGTAGAATTTAATATGGTGAACATTTGTGGATCCACATTTACAAATAAACACAAATTTTGAGCTTTCAAAAAATAAAATAAATAACCCAGTCTTTTCCTCTGGGGCTGCCATGTTTGTCTTTTATTTATTTATTTTTTTTAAACTCTTTATTACTATTATCAACATATACATTAAACATGTAATCGGACTCAAATGTACATAAAATCTGAAAAACCTGATGAAGCCGATCTCTGCTGTTTCCATACAGACAAAAAAGAGGAATGAAAATAACAAAACAAAACAAAAGACATACATTAGGGGTTTTCCAGCAATTTCATGATGATTATCATATCATATAGTTCTGTATCTTGACCTTTGTTCATGAATTTCAGCGATAAGAAGAGGTGGCAGAGATCCTTATGAAAAAAGGGGAAAGATGGTTTGGTTTTTTTGATGTTTGTCTTTTCTAGCTGTCACGGTAACTCAATGCTATAAAAAAAAAGAGAGAGAGAGCCGCATTTGCGCATGCGGTTGTGACGTCAGCGCGGCAGATGAGCACCGTTGAGATACTGGAACACTTTAATAGAGAAATAAGTGCAACTACATAGATAAAACACAACATGCATGATAATAATAATACAAAATCTTACAGTACAATTTTATTTTTATTAAATTTGATCAGTTATTAGGTACTTTAGCCAATTTTCAGCGAATTTATTGAGCTAACTGCCGAGCTCGTGCGGTCACACTACTCGAAGCTACAGGGGATTTTTTCGGCTTCAGCCGCTCACAAGGGAAGTTTTCTGAGATTTAATAAAAACACATTTACTATTTTGAATTATATATTTTGCGAAACTATTTTAACATTGTTTTTCTTACCGATTTCCAAGACTCTTCCAGGCTATTTACGGAAGCAACCGTCAGCTCTGAACTCTCAAGCGTGTCTCAATCTGAGCAAAATCTCCGCGCAGCCGTTAAAGGGGCGGGACAATCAACCTCATTGGCTGATGTGAAATCAAACTGTACCAGCTATTGGCTGTTTAATCCGTCACTAAACGCAATCACTAAAGGCATATTTCACAGTTTTTAAAGATTTGTAACACTTTATCTATGTTTATGAACATATTTACTAACTTATTTTGAATTTGATTACTTTTTAACTCTTTTTGTAGAATAAGACATGAAATCTATTTACAATTTTTAATCTTGTTGTTGAAGAAGACATTAAATCAACATTATTAATTTTTTACTTGTGTTTTTAACACTAGGTTACACTTACTTTCAGCAACTAGACAACATGAACTTGAGGGTTGCAGGAGCATTATTCCTCTGAAAATTTAGACTCTAAATGAGTGAAAAAGGGATCAGGTTTAAAAAAAATCTCAAAAGAGTTTGATGAATTAATAAAATAAACACTTTAAATGACCACAGGATACAAATAATTTAACGGTATCATACTAGTACAACTTACTTGCAATGACTATTTAACTGTTTATCATTTATAATGACTAATTATGCTTTTTTATTTTCTTTCTTCAGTTTGTTATTATCTTGCTACAACACAATCGGCTCCCATTGAATTAACTGTAAAGTTGACCCACAAACGCAAGGGGCCACTATTACTTGCGCAAACAGAACTCTGCTGGCTGACGTCAACGTTCTTCTTCTGCGCATGTGGGTAGCTTTGGGGACGCAAATGGCTAATGCAGAAAGTGTAGGCGGACACAGAAAAAGTTTGATTTCAGCCAAAAATCGGACATGTTTTCTAAAATTTAGAGAATTTATCTGACTTTACATTAAAATAAATATATTTAACATGTTGAAAGCATTAGCTTTAGACACTCTGAGCTAAAGTTTATGCTAATCTAACCTTTTCTTGTGTCTCGCGCACACTTACACGTCGTCATTTGTATTTATTTTGGATTAATAAAGATGGTTATTTCATTTGAACGGTTGTATAAATGTTCATTTAACACTTAGCTAACTCCCTGTGAGGTCTGGTTCGGTGGTACTGACCTCTGCTGCAGGTAGGCGCAGAGCAACTTCAGTTTGTCCACCAGCGCGGAACCTCGGCCCGCCTCCTCCAGCATCGCTTCCGGGGCAAAGGTCACCGTCTCCAGGGTGACAGCCACCGCCTGCAAGGACAGGATTCAGATGAAGACGCTGTTTTTGACTCAGAATACGAAACAGTGGCAGTTCTGTTCTGCCTGAGGCTAAAAACAGAAGAAAAAAAAATCAGTGCAATCCTAAGAGGAAGGCGTCTTCCTTCTTGATGTTTCCAATCAAAGGACTTCAAACTGATCCTTGATTAAAAACACAGGAGAGCAAATGTTGCCTGAGGCGTCGGGGCCGCTTGGTTCTCCGTCTCACCTGCAGCCTGGAGCAGAGAGCCTCGATGTGGGACACGGCGGGGTCCTGCAGCGGCTCCTGGAGCACACACAGCAGCAGACTGTTGGTCAGAGCCCGGGTCAGGGGACCCAACACCTCCGGGGGCCTAACCATGGGCCCGGAGACCGGCCTGCAGTTTATAGGAAATAGAAACTCAAAATAATTAATTATTTTACACAACTGGTGATAAATGAAGCTGGAAATGAATCTAAAATATTAAAACTTCACCGTGAATTCAGATTTTTGCTGATTTCAGGCTCAACCAGCTGCTCCTTCCTCTGTAGAGGTTCCTGCTGAAACACATCAGCTTCATAAGTCATTAAAAAATATGTTTTCAAGGTTTGGAAAGTGCTTAATTTCTGTATAAAATCCATAAAAGTGCTCTGTTTTATATTAAAATTGATTAAAAGCCTAAATTAGGAAAACGTTTGTAGTTACACAGATTATTTATCTGTTGTCTGAAGTTAAATCAGAGCAGAAATTTCTTGTTTTTGGTTATTACCAAAATTGTTTATATTTACTAAATGCTACAAAACTTAACACAACATCTTTATAGAGATTTTTGTACAAATTTGGCAGAAGCCTTCAAAATTTCTGAGTTTTTGACTTTAAAAAAATGTCTTAGTTTGAAAAATTTAATAATCAAGCTTTGAAATTTCCAATGTTTTCTATATAATTTCTGAGCTTAACTTTAATATCTTTAAGTTGTTTCTAGCAATTCTTTTTCAGCTTATTATCTGAGACTAATCTAAATATGTTGATGTAAATTTACTCTTCTTTTTTTTAATCAAAAATAGCCTGAAATACATTATATGAATTATTTCTTAAAATAGTGAATTAAAAATGTCTTAAATTCATTTTTAACTGTGATGGAAAAGGTAGAAAATTTATTTTTAACTCCAAGGTGTGATGGAAAAGTTAGAAAAGTGTGCAATTATTTGTAGAACTATGTAATTAAATGTTTAAAACCAATAAATATGCAGCTTTGCTCACCCGGTTCGGTTCTGGCTGCAGGCAGCCTTTCAGAGCGTAAATACCTGCAGCCAGAACTGCCCACAGTAAACACAGCAGCAGCATCCTGCAGCATGCGTCCTCCTGCGGCAGCGCGGCGCCCGGCAGCGCCTCCAGCTGGCAGGCGAACCACACTGCAGCCACCGGGGCGAAGCAGCAGAAAGTTTTCAGAGTCTGGGACCAAAACCTGCGTCCGGGCTGAGCTTCACTGAGGATTTCTACTAAGCTGGAAATGAAAAATACAGAAAAACAATAGAAGATAGTTCAAATTAACTGGATAAATGCAAATAAAACTAAACAGAAGTTGTCAGAAAAAAGCTGTACATAAATTCAAGTGTGTTTCTTCTGCTTTGTTGAAGTTTCAAGGCAAATATCTCCCTTTTTCAATTATTTTTTTGTAAAAGAGAGACACAGAATAATTTTTTTATCTGTTATTAGTCATGTTTTTAGTGTGGACAATATTGCTCCCACCTTGGGTGCAACAGTGTTAGGGGCGCCAGAAAATGAAATGTTTATATATATACATTTTCTTTAAAAAGAAAATTAAAAATTCAAGCACTATTCAAGGTTTCTAAAGGGATGTTTTCAGACTTTTCCAGCATAAAACTTTGAAGATAAAAAAAAAAAACATCTCAAACGTCTCTCAAATTTTCTAGAAAAACTGAAATTTCTCCAAAATAATTTCTAGAAAATTTCTCAAGAATTCTCAAAGGAATTTAAAAAATTTTTGTTTCAGCATTTTTTATTTTATTTTATCTTTTGTACAACGCAGTGAAAGTCACTTGAAGCACAAATAACCACAAATTTTTCACAAATAACATGGATGCTTTCATCACTGATGTTTATAAAAGGATTTAATCCACCAGGGATTATATGAAAACTATTAATAATTTAAATCAGTATATTTCCTTGAGCATGTGATGAACTGGCAGTGTCAGATCGTCTGGGCCAGATTATGGCGCTTCATTCAGAAAACACTGATTTGTTTTCAGTAAAAAAGGACTGTGAGTGGCTCCAGCTATTCTGGTGAACTGGGATGAACTTCTGCTCTTCCCAGTTTGTGTCCTGTATATGATATACGAACCTTAAGCAAGTTGAATTTTAATTTCTTGGGTTTAACTCAGAGGAAGTGGGCCACTGTTTCTTAAAACGAGTAACAAGCTGTCAATCGATGACACAAACGAGGATGGAAATAATCCACCTGTTAAGACATTTCCAGTCACAGTGAAGCATTTCTGGGTGTTTAAACGCGGCTCACCTGTTGAGAGTCATCCATTGTCCCTGGTTGTCTGCTGTCGCTCCCTCACCATCCTCCCTCATGGGTTTACTGGTCCACTCCCAGCCTCTCGTCCCCTCCAGTCCGGCTGTCCTCTGACCTTTGGGGTGAGACGGTGGTTGAATCTGCAACCAAGCCATCTGCCGTTTTAATGTCCACTGGTTAAAAACATGATTCGACAGACCGAGCCAGTCGAACAGGCCCGACGGGAGGATTTGTTTTGCCGTTTTACTCCCTTCGCTGCATTCCAGCCAGACAGGAATGTGTCCAACGGGCCGGAGTGGAGAGCGATCCCGACTCCACCCAGAAACAGTTTCTGACTCACAAACTACTAAACCATCTGCAGTCGGCAGTCTCACGGTTGCCCCGGAAGGAGTCAACGCTGAGATTTAACAGTGTTTCACTCTGGTGGTTTTTAGGCACTAATCTATGGAGTGCCAATAGGGACTCAGAGTTGAAAAATGTTCATATAAAGTACTGAGAATCCTTAAAGAAATACTAGAAAGTTAAATCTCTAGCTACATCATAAGTTATAGAGAGGCTACATTTAACCTCTCTATGTGATTTTAAATTGAAGGATGATTTTTTTAAAGAATCTTGACGCCTTAATATCTTTTTGCTGTGACAACTTTCATGCTTAAATGTTATTTTAAACATAAAACAACATTTTTATGTGTCTATGCTTTGTGTGAGCTGTTATTATTCTGTTTAAAACAGAAATAATGTATTTTTTGTCATTCAGCTCCAGCCCGACTAATGCAGAGTTGCATTGCGGGAATCCAAACTGTATTTTTTAGCACCAAAAAAGGCATACGTGTACAGCAATATTGCCTCCAGGCTGCAGTTTTAGTACCTCCATAAGTAAATGGCTTTACCTGCCATCAGTCAGAAAACATCCACATTTTATATTACTTAAAGAAAGTTTGACCAAAAATGGTTTACTTTAATATTCTACCATCAACTTGAGGAGGAAAATCATGTAATTTGTACCCATGTCCTGAATTACAGTTGTTTGAAGGAGTTTTGTCTTCCGTTTCCCACCCCTGGATGCAGTTTTCACTAACGAACAGAAGGTGGCAGCAGAGCTGTTTCTGACGTCATCACACGAAGGCGAAAGGAGAAATTTAATTTTAAATAAAAGAAAAGTAAGTATTGCATGTTATAGTTATTAGACAGTATCATGTTGTTTGTTTAAATCGTGATCCGTCTGCTTGGTTTTTGTAGCTTGAGCGGAAGCTGAAAAGAATAGAAATGTGTCAGACGTTTGTTAGCTCCAGCTAAATTGTTGCAGCGTTGCATTGTGGGTAATCAAGCGGTGTTTTAAACATTACAGTTAACAGTTTAACATTGTTCCTATAACCCAGTTATTCCAGTATGTTTTAGCTGGTGTTGCAAGGCAGCCTCTCTGATCTTTTTTTTTTTTTTGTTTTTTTGTTTTTAAAACAAAAATGTGTTGGCACCGTGAGTCATGTGGGTATGTCAGCGAAAGACATCCCAGGGAGCGAGAGAAGCAACTCATACTTACCTGGCAGGGGAGATACCATGATCATGAAGGTGGTTCACCCAGGGTGAGGCTCAGCCATTGCACTCCGGTTGTGCTGACCCCTGCGAATTCCCCAAATGTGGGAATCTCGACTGCATAATTTCTGGTAGTGGGGGACTGCGTTCGCGCTCTCCCCTGATTCACTGTTAATGAAAATAAGGAAGACTTTAATTTAGGTCATTTTTTAAATGGAATCCCTTCATATTGGATAAAGTTCGCTAGTTAGTGTTTTTTAATTTATTGAAGTGTTTCAATAGAGCTTGGAATCATGTTGCCATCTAGCGATTAAGATTAGAATTACATTGTGAATGAGATTCCCATTCTTATTAGAGCACAAATAGATGATTTAAACTGTTTTTAGGTGCTACAAACAGGTCTAAATAACTGAAACTGACATAGAAAATAACAAAACATTATGAACTGTTTTGTTGTTTAAGTCATTAAAGCAGGAGGAATTATGTATTAGTAGTGGGGGAGGAAACCATTTTAACTCACTATTTACCTTCAGTTGGTATAAAAGTGCCATAAATATCAAACATAACTCACTAAGTTATTGGGTCTCTGCCTCTTTAAGAAGCTCTTGCTCTTCATAAAGAGACTCTGCCTTCAGGAAGTCGTAACAGTGCATCTTTGTTATGTTTATTAGGAGTGTGGGACTGAAAAGTAATTTTTATGAGAGAATAGCATTATTACATAATGAAACAAAGTTAATTTTACATAATATCTTTAGAACAACTCCAAAAGAACAATTGTAAGTCACATTATTGAGGTAAAGGCAGAGTTTAAGAAGGAGCAGGAGCTTCTTAAAGAGACAGATTAAACTATGGAGTTACATTTAAGTCATATTAATATATACATAATTTTTATACCTTGATTATATTAAAAAATGCCTTATGTGTCTGGAAAAAGAAATCCCCTTAATCAACATAAAGAGATTAAATTTAAATTTCTATGACCAGCCACAGACTAAAAGGTTAAAAAGGAACGATTTTGAAGAATGCATGAGCCGTGTTTGTTTTTCCAACATTTTACTATAAAAAAAAAAAACTGATGACAAAGACAACAGATTCGAATACTAAAATATCTCATAACGATCCAGCTGGCAAAAAAAAAAACGTCAGAAGAGAAAACTGATGGGAGAAAATTCACAAAAATCAACAACACTGTGCGGTAACATCCAACAGACGACACGTCCCTGCATGATTGTAACATCTCTACTCGGGTTTTCACGTCATTCACAGATAAAACCCTAATATTTTTGTAACATAAATCTGGATTAGAACAAAAGTTCACTTCATTTATTTTTATTTAAAAAACCCAAAAGTACAACTCAGTTTTATTTTCCAGTGCATGATGTCAGAATTAGTGGTGTTGGTGTTTTCAGTCGTAGATGGAAACTTTATTTTGATTTCCTGATAACGTTCTGGCAGCAGCTCACTAACATTCAGACACATAAAACTGTGCTGAGAGCGTTTCGTTTCCTGGAAATGTCCACAGACCCACGCCGTGACTCTTCAGCGGAAACGCCAGACGTCACGGCTTGGTGATGTGGACTTCGCCGGTGGTGCCGCCGTTGGTCGTGGTGGTGATGATGTACTGCGTGGGGGCCTGCTGGGTCGCGGGCGGCGGATCCAGGTGGTCGGTCTGGGTCTGGGTCTGGGTCGCGCTCTGAGGAGCCACCTGCTTCGTCTCCAGGTCAGTCTGACCCTCAGAGATGACAAAGTGCGCCTGAGAGACAAATATGAAAACTTCCAGCTCCATTTTTATGATTATAAATTATGAATAAAGTTGCCACAATGTGGAAAGACAAATGCTGTCGCCAAAGAAACGATAGTTTAGTTAGTTTGTGGTGGGATGTGTGTATTGTGGTAGATTGGGTTTGACTGGGGACTCACCGTCTTCACCTGGCTGCTGTTGACTGCAGACCCGGCGGGCGTGCCGGGCTCCGCGATCACGTACTGCGCATGAGGTAGCGCCATCATCTGGATCTCAGACGCTGTTCGAACAGTTTGGGGTTGACTTTTTATTCTCATGGATCCAAACAGAAGGAGGAGGAGAGGAAGAGCTGTGGATTTAGAGTCACTCACAGTAGCCTCTGTAGTTCCAGTTTCCGGGGATGTAGGCGTGCTGCACCGCCCCCTGCTGCTGGGCGGGGCTCAGCTCCTGACTGGGCTGCTGGGAGGCGGGGCTTAGAGGCTGACTGTTTCCCTGGAGGGACGCTCAACATCAACCAACGTAGACGTTTAGTCGTACTGCAGAACGAGTTCTAGTTATTTACCTGAGTGGCGGCTTGAGCGGCGCCAGAGGACTCCGACACCTGGATGTGTTGCACCTGGATGGAGTGCTGGCTGTAGCCATGGGGGTCGTGCAGTTGGCTCACATCGACTGTCTGGGCCTGGGAGTGAGGCGAGGCGGCCTGCAGACGCAGAAAAACACAACTCCATCATCAAATCTATCAAATATTTGGGTTTTGGAGATTTAAAGGTTGCATGTTACGCTTCCTTAGACATGTTTGTTACTTTCTTGTTAGATAATGAGATTCTAGTTTGTCATTTTTCACTCCTTTGACCAAAGAACTTGTCTTTTCCAGCAGCCATTGTACAGAGCATACAGTGGTAAACTCGTTTGACCAAACGTGCTGGAATTCAGTTTGGTGCCTGCTCATTTGTGACGCTACATTCTGGAGGTTTTTGAAACGGTGTTTGTCTTTTTTGTTAGTTTGTTTGTGTTTTTAAGGCGCTTAGCTTGTTTGTAGAAGCAACTGAAACCAAAACTGATGTACAAAAATGTGTAAAATGTGAATTTTTTATAATAGTGGAACAAAAATCTGCCAGTGGGACTGGATTTTTTAATCAATATTCAAATGTTTTTCTTGAAATTTTAAAATGTTTATTTCTCGTCAATTTTTGAGGTTTTTATTATGGAAATTACACAAAAATTCTCACAGCTCAGCCATAATATTCTGATGTACAACTAGTAGAAGGGATGATTGACATAAAAGCCACTTTTTGAAAATGTTTTAAGTCATTAGTAAATAGTTTTTTTTAGAAAATCAGAAACGGGATCTAGTATAATAAAAAATTTATTTTTGTTTGCTGGTTGTTTTCTCACCGGCGCGACCTGGACGACCTGCAGCTGGATGTGCTGCGGCTGCGCCAGACTGCCGCCCGCCTGCGACACTGGGATGTACTGGATTCGCTGGTAGTCTCCCTGGGAGGTCCGGTAGTCTGCGGTCAGCGTCTGGGAAAGCTCCGTCATGGCCTGGGTCAGCAGGTCGGTGGTCTGAGGCAAAGAAGAAAAATATTTGACCCAAGAAATCAGAGTGAAGAGAAACATTTTGATTTTCTGTCATTTAGTCTGAAAGATGCAATTAGTTCATCAGTGAATGAATGAATCTGTTCACTTATCCATCCATCCATCCATCCATCCATCCATCCATCCATCCATCCATCCATCCATCCATCCATCCATCCATCCATCCATCCATCCATCCATCCATCCATCCATCCATCCATCCATCCATCCATCCATCCATCCATCCATCCATCCATCCATCCATCCATCCATCCAAGCATACAACCATCCATCCATCCATCCATCCATCCATCCATCCATCCATCCATCCATCCATCCATCCATCCATCCATCCATCCATCCATCCATCCATCCATCCATCCATCCAAGCATACAACCATCCATCCATCCATCCATCCATCCATCCATCCATCCATCCATCCATCCATCCATCCATCCATCCATCCATCCATCCATCCATCCATCCATCCATCCATCCATCCATCCATCCATCCATCCATCCATCCATCCATCCATCCATCCATCCAGATTTTGCAGGTTCTATGTTAGAATCTTGTCCACTGACTGATTATCTCCTCCAGATGATGGTAAATGATGTTTATTCTCGGTGAATCTTTCTGAGTGTTCGTTCTCACCACTACAGCTTCTGCCGTTGCACCATCAGCGGTGATGACTGCCGGAGCGACCACCGCCGTGGTCAGAGGAGAGTGAATGGTGTTGGCCAGCTGGGCGAACTCGGGATGCTTCTTCCTGATGTGCTGCACCATCTTAGTCTGGGGGGGAAAAAAAGTTGTTTTTGTTTGAAATCCCTGCTTCTGAGTGAGGAGACGACCAGGCTGATGCAGCCCGCTCACCTTGCTGCTGTACTGTTTGGCGCAGTGCGGGCAGCAGACCGGCGCGGTTGCTATGGTTCCGGTCAGCTGGGTGTGGGTGCTGAGCATCGGGTCCGGCTCTCCGGGAGCAGCCGGGCGCAGCTTCCGGATGCTGGGCGGTAACTCCGCCCCTGGGTGGTTCTTCAGGATGTGAGCTTTCCTTTTACTGGCGCTTTTATACACCTGCAGGGAAAAAACCCACCAATAAACGGCAGGATGGAAGGAGAGACAGGAAGCTCAATTAGTGGCTTTGGGGAAAGTCAATCCGGTTTTCAGAAAACGTGTTGCTTAAATGGCCCGTTGCTATGAAACTATGTAATATTTTCACTGTATTTACTTGATGGAAAGAGGCAGCTGCCACTGCTTTTACAAAGCATTAGATTTGTACATTTTTAAATGCATGCCTGTGTTTACGCTTGCAAATTTATTCTTGTTTCTTATTGATTTGCTCAAAACAAACAAATTTATATTTAATTAGTGGCGGCTGCCACCAAAGCCACTGGACCTTCCACTTTGCATCAGGTAAATTAAGACCAAATAGTGCAATAACTAATAACTTCATCATTTCAAATTAATGAATTACTTGCAAACAGGCAATACGACTAACACTGGCATCAGCTTCTGGCAGCATTATTTCTTTTGTTTAGTGAATTTATGATCATTTTTTACCCTTTATCCATGTCAGGTTTTTTTTTTCACACTTCAGTTTGTATCATAACTACACTGACTGGCTCTGTGTTGTCTGTTATAAAATAAAAATACAAACCTTATCGCAGTACTGGCAGAAGTAATCCCTGTTGGGTTTGATGATCGGTAACGTCAGCTCCGGCACGTCGTCGATCCTCATCTCCGGATGCCGTTTGGACAGATGATTGACCTGCAGACAGGAAACCGGAGCTGAGCGAGGCGCGACTCCCCGTCCGCCTCAGTCTCCGAGAGCCGCCGCTCACCAGCATCCCTCGGCGCCGGAATCCCATCATGCACAGCCTGCATTTGAACACGAAGCTTTCCAGGTCGGTGGAGGGGACCTTGGTTTTGTGGGCTTTGGAGCGGTGGGTCCGGTCGGACTTCTTGGCCTCTCTGTCCGGATTGTGCATGCGCTGCATGTGTTCCCGCAGCTTGTCCTTCCTCTGGTGGGAGAAACATCAGTGACTGACAGTTTGGTCTCAGGTAACAAAGCTAGCTGCTAGCCGTTGGCGGCGCACCTTGAACTGCTTGCCGCAGGTTGAGCACAGGAAGTCCTTGCGGTCGGAGTGGCGCAGCATGTGGAGCCGCAGCTTGTCCGGTCGGCAGAAGGCCTTATCGCAGTCTGGACACTGGAAGATCTTCTCTGAGTGGAAGCAGCGGACGTGTTTCTTCATCTATGGAAAAGCACCAGGTCCAAAACTCAGGAGAATGAGAAAGCCTAAGGAACTTTATAACTAATCGATTTGATCAGATAAAGACAATTGGTCCATTCTGTAGACTTTTAATTTAAGCACTTTAGCTAATTTCATACAGAAATGCATAAAAAAATACAAATAATTCAACCCAGAAATAGTTTTCCTTTAGCGTTTGGTCGACATTTGTAGAATTGAACCATCGTTGGTCTTGATTTTATCGGTTTGAATTGTGTTTTCATCTTATTTATTTATTACTGATGTTGAGCTCTTTGTTTCAGCTCTTTGTGTTAAAGCACTTTATAAGATTCACAATGATGCAGGGAAAAAAAATACATCAATGCGTGAAAAACTCAGCTTTGTCTGTTTGACTTATGATCAATTTATCTTTTGATTAATCAAATTCATTATTGATTAATCACTAACTGGAGTATACAGTCTGAAAAAAAGCCATTTGTTTTAAAAAACCCATTTAGATTCAGGTATTTCTAATGTTATAAAAAAAAATGCTTAAGTGGTTAAATAAAAAATCTGCAGAATGTCCGATTTGTATGTGATTAATCGTCAGATTAACTGATTAATCGATTACTAAGATAATCGTATGTACAGTTTGAGTGTGTTGTTCTTTCAGAAAATTGCCTTTTTTGAGTCTGTGCATACCAGCTAATGATTAATCAATCATTAAATTAGTTGATGATTATTTAAATAGTTGATTCATCACCATTAATCATTTTACGCATACATCCGTTAGCCTCACTCTGGCTCAGCGACCACTTTTAACTCCGCTGCTACAAAATAAAACTCGCTTCAAGCCACAACGATTTTCTAAATATCTAATGCATAAAATGTTTTAACATAAAACAAATTGAGAAAAAGTCTTAGATAATCACAACATTTCCTGTGTGGGTTTGTAAGAGCTGCAGGCTCCAGACCAACCTGGATGAAGTCCGTGAAGCTCTTGTCGCAGGACGGGCAGCTGAAGCAGCCGTCCACGGCGTGGACGTCCACGTGGTCCTTCAGCAGCTCCAGCCTCTCGAACGTCTCCGGACACAGGAGGCAGGAGTAGGAGCGGCTCTCTGCGTGCGCCAGCAGGTGGTCCTCCAGCGCCGCGTCGCTCACGAAGCTCTTCCCGCAGCAGTGGCAGGAGAAGGCGTAGGCGTCGCGGCCGTGGACGCGCAGGTGGAGCTCCAGCTTGTCTTTGTCCCGGAAGGCCTTGCCGCACAGCGTGCATTTGAACGGCCGGAAGCTCTTCCTGATGAAGAGGTGCTGCAGCGCGGCATTCTGGGACGCAGAGAGCGGCAGGAGGTTAGCCGCAGCAAAAACCTGCAGACCTGAGGGAAGTAGACCCTCGGACATTCTTCCAACCAAATCAAACTGGGAGCAACATTTTGTTGTTTCGGCTGCTGTCATTTTAAAGATTTAATAAAAATGTTCAGAGGTCATGAAAGGTTGACCTTTCACCTTTGTAAATCCTTACTATGCTCAAAGCTAAAGCAGAACAAACAACTTAGAAAACGTGAGATTAATCTCAGAACTTTTCTAGAAAAAACTTCTGAGTTTGAAAAGTAAAAAAAAAAAAGCTATTAAATTGGATTAATAAGCAAATTAATTTGATTAATCTCAGGGGAAAAAAACAAAGAAATTTCCCAGTTTTTTCTGGACAATTTCTGACATCAATCTAAAAATTAAAGACATTTTTATTACAAATTTTCAACTTATAGAGTTCAGAAAGTCCCTGGTTTTTCAAGACTAACCTCAAAATTTCTACACGACATGGTAGCAGGTTGACCTTTCATGACCTCTGGAAACATCAACACCTTCAGAAGGTTTTTTGCTGCACAAACGTCTGACATCAATTTTATTTGATTTGAAGAACGTGTGGCCAAATTCACTCCGGTGACCTGCAGCAAGTTTTTCTGTCTCAGCTTAAAAACTAAACAAAAAGCTGAGGATGTCAGCCGCCGCCGCCGCCGCCGCCCCAGCTGTCCTACGCAAAGTAAATGTTTGTTTCTCGTCGTCTGCCGGGTTTCACCTACCTGCTCGTCCGCCTGAGAGGGAGGCACACATTGAGGAAGAAGAGACAAAGCGTGGTCAAGCGTAAAGCGGCACCAGAAAGCGAGAGTCTTCATCGGGAACAGAGTCTCAGAGTCTCACCCGGATCTTCTTGGCGCGGTGAAGGTCCTGGGAGGTCAGGTGCGGTTCTGGCTGCCCGCTCTGCGCCGGGTCGTCCTTCACGGGAACGGCCGGGTCGGGGCGAGGCGGCGGGGCGTCGGCCTGCAGCAGCGGCTCCTCGGCGGGGGGCTCCGGCGGACCCTCGTCCTCCGTCCCGGCCTCCCCCTCCGGCTCCGTGTCCACGTCCTTCAGCCCGTTCTGAGCGCCGTCCTCCTCCAGCGGCTTCTCCGTCGGATCCAGCAGCTCCTGACGAAAATGTCGTCACAACTTTGGTCGGCTGGTTTTGACATTTATGGACAAATAAATCCACCTTTCATCTCTAATATCTTTATGCTTCTTTTTAAATTATATTTATTATTATTGGTTAAAAGTTGTTACCATCACCGCAATTTATGTCAGTCTTACTGGTCAAACTCAACAACAACAATAAAATAAAAATAATAATTCTGAATTATTTATTCTTTTTTTTTTTAATAATTTTTTTCAATATTTTTAATTTTCTACTAATTTTTAGTTTTTCAATATCATTTTTAGTATCAAATATTTCTATTTTCAAAATAATTTGATTTGAGTATTTTTGTTTTAATATTTATAATTTTCTAATCATTTTTAATTTTTTATATCATTACTCTTAGTCTTTTAAATATTGTCAGTTTTTTTATCATTTATTTTTATCATTTTTAATATCTTGAATTGTTTTTGTACATAATTATTTCTAACTTTGCAGTATTTCTATTTTTTATATTTTAATCAGCTTTTTGAGTTTCATCTTTGCTTTTTTGTTTTATATTTTAATGTTTCCAATATTCTTACATTTGTTAACTTTACATGTTTTTGTGCATAAAACCTCATTTTTGGTTGTTTTTTTTCCCATAAGCCATAATCATTAAAAATGAAAAAGAATAGTAGCTCAAAATATTTTACTCTAGGTGAAATTAATCTCTTTCACTTTCTGAGACGACTGGAAAGAAATGTTGCACTTTTATGGACTATTCTAAGTTTTAAAAACAAATAAAACAAACTAAAAATGTGATTTATTTGTTTTTATTTACATTTTTTTACTGTAAAAATTGCACCAAAACATTTCTATTTTTCTGAAGACCCAATGGAAACATCTTTATCTTTACTGGCTTGCTAATATTGCTGGGCAGCTTCTTTAATCTGAGAGATTAGAAGGCCTCTTGGCCATCACCCTAATCTTTACCTCCCTCAGCAGATTCTCCATCTGTCAATTAGTTTTTTATCCTTAACCTTTCTTGTTTCTTTCTGTTTTGTCTCACTGTAAAGACGGAACGGTCCCCTTACTGCCGTCTTGTCTCCGTTGGTGTCTGCAGCCGGATCCACGCGGATGAATTTCGGCGGCCGTCCCGGTCGCCTCCCCGTCCCAAACCGCTTCCTGCCTCGCCCTCTGCCGCGGCCTCTGGATCTGAAACCGGACACTCACAGAGATAAGTAGACGTCGCGACATAAAAAAGATCAAATGAAACGAAAGCAAAAGTTTCCACCTCGAAGCGGAGCTGAGCTTGTCGTCGTGCATGTTGAGGTGCTGCTGCAGCTGCTCGGAGCTCACGAAGCGCCGGTTGCACTCGTAGCACGGCCAGTTCCACTCCTGCTCCTGGAGCGCTGGGAGAACGAGGCGAGGCGGAGGTCAGGAGGTCAGGACGCCGCTGCCGCCGCGTCACAAACCTGACAGAGGAAGAACTCACCTTTACGCTCCTCGTCCGTAACGTCGTGGATCTTCTGGTTCACAAAGTCTGCGTACGAGGCGGCGTACCAAACCTGCAGAACAAAATATTTTTAAAAAATCACAGCCATAAATAACTTTTTTTGTTGTTTTGGCTCGTTACATCATTCATCTTGCAAAGACACAAAATCTTACTAAGTATTTTTGTCTAGTTCCTTGTGAAAATATCCTAATACACTTTAAACAAAACAAATTTAAAAGCAACATTTTAAATACATGTATGTAATTTTTATTTCATTCATACCAGGAGAAAATTGTCCTGCTGTAAATCAAAACAAGTACAGCAGGTCAATGTATTTTGTGGTTCTATAGTGAAAAAATTATGATGAAAAGAAAATATATTTATTACTTCTTTTTTAGGTAAATGTCTGTGAAAAACATTCCCATTTACGGATATTTATTAATTCGTTCAAGGAACAAATAGTTGAGGAAAAAGGAAATCTGACATTTCTAACTGTCAGTTTTAGGCTTTTTTTGACCATCAGGAAATAAAATGTGTCAAGAGAATAATAAATTAAAATTCTTACCATTATAAGATATTTTTTATGATAAATGATAAAACAATAAATTCCCACCACTAGGAATGAGTACATTTTTTTTAAATCAATACTCAAGAATTATTGACTTAAAAAAAGCTCATATATCTTGTCGGAAAGTTTTTTTTGTCTTATTTCAAGTGCACCAGGACATTTGCACTAAAAACTGCATCACAATTAGTAAGACTGTGATTTTGTTCTTTCTTTGTGCCGACCTTCAGCTCCTGCTTGGGCTGGATGTGTTTGATGGTGGTGTAAAAGATGTCGGAGCCGTACTGGTAGGCCACCAGGTTCTGCTCCAGGTGGTTTTGAGCCGGCCGCACAAACATCATCCAGTTGCAGCTTTCCTCGTCAGAGAGATCCAACCAGACGTCGCTTGGCTTCCCTTCTTCCTTCTCTGCATTCAGCAGGTACACCTGTCAGAGAAACAAGCCATCAGACGCACACGATGAGAAACGATTAATCAAAGTATTCGTGATTAATCGATTACTGAAACATCCACCGACTCATTTAGTGATCGATTAATCGTTAACTGGGGGATACAGATGCAAAAAAAGGCCATGTGCTGAAAGAACGGCACACGAAGAGCAGCAATTAAACCAAACTGTACAAAATACAAATGTTTTGCATAAAAAAGAAACTTCTGTTTCTAAGTATGTTCTACCCAAAACTCATCACATCGCATTTTTAGCTTTAACTGGTTCAAATTCTGTAGAAAACACAAAAAAATCCTGTTAAACAGCGTTTCTTCCCACTTGTTAATAAAAAATAGTCAATAGTCAACAGAAAGAGCTGTCCAAAACATAAACATTCACTAAAGAAATGCTATTTTACTGAATTCGAGGCAATAAAATGTTTATTTTCTCATTAAAAATGAATTAAAGGATGTGTTTATTTGCATCTTTTTTTTTGCGTATTATTATTATATTAGAAAAGCTACGTGGTTAAATGAAAAATTAGCAGAATGTGGCCATTTTTATTCTGATTAACCGTCAGAGTAATCAATTAATCATCAGAATATTTGATTAATCCTCAATAAAACAGATTAATCGTCAGAATGATCCATTTCTAACATAATTGTTAGTTGCGGCCTTCAACAGTTTCGGGACTCTGCTGTATTTTAGGTGTTTTGGAGACTTCTCTGTGGTCTGCTCTAGGGGGAATTAGCTTGAACTCACAGCAGTAGTCGGTTGTTTGCGTTCATAAAAGAAGTGAACGCTGTGCGGCCTCACCCAACTTACTTTTAATTTAAAGTTGTGGTCTTGTAGCTCACTCTGGGAAACCAGCGGCGCCTCCACAGGGCCAAACTGGGTTCGCTTGGGGATGCGCCTCTTGGAGAAGACTCCTCCCAGGAAGCGGTCGATGTAGAGGATCTGAGGCAGGCTGGCCCTGGCTTTGGACAACACGGGCCGGTTGGGGATGGGATGCAGGGGGCCGTGCAGCGGACAGTCCGAAGGGTTGGAACTGTTGCACTCCTCGCACCCTGAGGCGGAAGCAACCAAAGGAAATGAGTCAAGCTAGATGGTTTTGTTCCAGATGTGGCGGCGGCGCAGAGCGCCACTCACAGAGGGCGTGAGGGTCGAACAGCGGAGGGTGTCGCAGCTCCCAGTCGTCCATCTCAGAGTCTTCGTCATCGACTTCGTCTGAGTCGTCTGTGGAGTCGGTGGCTCCAAGCGGGCTGCTGGGGGGCTCAGCGATGTCGGCCATGTCTGTCAGGGAGTTGGACAGATGCTCCTAGGAGAGACAGTCAACAGTTGGCTACAATTAAATATTTGTTTTTATGAGATATTTAAATATTTGGAATATCTGACAAAGACCATTGGACACAGGATAGTTATGTATGACATACAAGATAATATGACAGAAACAACCTAAACTCCTGCAGGTTTACTACATTAAACTCTGTCAGAATGCATTTTAACTTCATTTGCTGAGATCAACATTTTCACAGATAAAAGTATCTAGAGCTGAAAACAATTAATCGGATTAATCAAATATTAAAATTATCTAAACTTTTTGCATTTCAGGAATATAAAAAAACTTTATGGAATAAAAAAAGACCTGGTACAATAAAAAAAATCTATTAGCACCTTTAGCTATTCAGCTATTAATTGACAATCCAATAAATACTCAATACATCATGTTGGATCAAGCAGAAAGAGCCGAGTTTTTCTTATGTCGACATTAGGAATATATTTTATCTGCAGATGCATTCCTTGCTACAAATAGTCAATCGTTCACTGTAGGGATAGTACTATTGCATTTTAGGCAATAAAATGTGTATTTCTTTATTTAAAAGTAATCAGATTACTCATTTCTTTGCATTTTTATGTATTTCAAATGCTGTATAAAAAAGCTTGAGTGGTTAAGTGAAAAATCTGAAGAATGTGGCAATTTTTATTCTGATTAATCACCAGAGTGACTGATTAATCACCTAAGTAATCGATTAGTCATCAGAATAATTGACAGAATAGTTGAGAGGTTCATTAGCTTCAGTCCTGAATGCCTGCTCACCTGGGAAACTGGCTCCAGGATGGCTTGTGGAGCCTCTGCTACGTTACTGAGAACGTGCAGATTGGCAGCATTCACATTCTGTCCACCAGGCAGGAGAACAGTCACCTGTAGGTGAGGGAAAAAAGACCTGTTTGTGAAAAAGACCAGCTCTCAGCGAGTCAGAGAAATGTGGAACGGCGAGGCAGCCGTACCTGCTGAGTCGTGCCATCCTGCTGGATGTAAGCCACTTGAGGCTGATCAGAAAACACCGTCTGAGGAAAAGGGGGAAAGTATCTCAGAGACAGTTCTGGGCTTGTTTTGGTCTTCAGTAAAAAAAAGAGCTCCGTGTTTACTTGGCTGCCGTCTGCAGGATGAATGTAGACCAGCGTGTGCTCTGCAGACTCCACAGAGGTGAAGGAGTTGCCCTCCGCTGTGTAGACCACCTGCTGCTCCGCCCGGTCCGACTGATCGCCACTGTACACAATCTGGGTCACGGCGCTGCCTTCAAAATGCACCTGCAGCACAAAGCTCCAACTTTTAGATGAGAAAATTATCTCTCCGTTCCCTGGAACTTCACTTGATGTGACGTGATAATATTTCAGCAGTTAATTAAGGTTTTCATTTTCTGTCAGTGAGTGAAAGTGACTGAATGTCTGAACGAGCAGCTCAGGAACAGGTTCACGTCGTACCTGTGTTGAATTGTTCGAGTCGTCGTTGACGGTCTGGCTCCACACGGCCGATGCTTCCTGTTTGGTTTCCATGGCTACCAAGCGCCAGGCCCTTTAGCAGCCGCAGCGCTGTTCTCCTGGCGGCGTGAGATGCCTGAAGTACAAAAAATTAATTAAGAATCATACAAACACCTGTTATTCTAAAGGTAATACGGTCACAAAAAACTAAATTCAACTGATTTTAGAAAATATTATTTCACATTCAAAGACTTTCTTTGTCCAGATAACTCATAGAAAAACACATTTTTCTATTCATATGTAAACTACCTAAAAAATACAGCTGGGTCATTAATATTAATACCGATTCCTAATGGAGGATTGAAAATTTAGCTTCAAAGTGTTAATTTTTTTCATTCAACACTTATAATTGCATTTAAACTGCAAATAAACAAACGCCACAAGTGATTTTTAAAACAAGAAAACATTTTATTGCCTAAAATGCAACAACTATATTCCTGTTTTTCATTTGCAGCAAAAGATGCATCTACAGCTATAAATATGAAAAGCTCATCTTTCTGTTTTAACGTCCATACAGTGTAGGGCTAATCTGTTGATTATTTTTTGGATTAATTAATTAATAATTGGGTAGAAAAAGGAGCTTAATAGATTTTTTTCTGTTTTGTTTCACATAATTTGAACTGGCTGAAGCTAACACTGCCACTTGAAGAGTTCTGGTAAAACAAATTTATAGACAAAACGTTTTTTTCCATTTTAAATGCAAAATGTATAGATTTTTTGTACAATAATTACTGCTTTGAGGGTACTGCTCATTTCTGCATGCACTAGTTAACAATTAATCCATTACTAATTACTTTAATAATGGTTTCCTCATGACTAATTGTTTCAACCCTAGATCAATTTTACAATTTTCTTGTACTACTAAACATCAAGCAAAATTTTGTGTCATATTAATAATCTGATTACAAATAAAAAGATATTTTCACATATTTCTGATTGGATAAAACATAAATACATCTAGCATGGCCCTGTGTGGAAAAGTAATTGTTAAATCCTGAATTGAAGGTAATTAACAACATATTTGGAGTTGAGTAACTAAAAACAAAGCTTTCGACCAAAGAGTCACTTTAACAGAACCTGCCAGACATCATGAAGTAGGCCAAAATGAAAGGTGTGTTCACATGAAAACCCTGACAAGTTTTCATTGGGGTCATGATTCTGCACAATAGTATAAAACATATGCAAAGTGAATATGTGATGGTTCTGGAGGGGAGTCAAAGTCCAGAGGAAATTATTGAGGGGGCAAATACTTTTTTTCATAGAAAGCTCCGGAATGTAGTCATCTTTATTCTTTTTTAGCGAGGACAGAAAATCTAGATATCAATGAGTGTATCTACTACAAGCATATGCAAAATGATGCTATTGATAATTAGCGACATTTAGCCACAGTTTTGACCCGATGGCATGCCGGGATTGTCCAAAATGAAGCGGCGTGTCGCTGCGGGAACGGAGCCGCCACATGAGCCCCTCCGCGGGGGAACGTTCCACAGAAAAGGGCCGGTGATCCGCAGGCCGCTCCGGGCGAAGGGATCTAAAAACACAGCCGCGAATCCAAACGGAAAACACCAATTCTCTCCTCTCGTTCATAAACCTACTTGGTATAATCAATAAAACGTTCATTTCCCCCCCCATTTTAACCCCGCAGGTTGTCGGTCCCAACCGGACCATACCACAGAAAGCGGCGCTGTGGAAACGCGGGCAGTCACAGCGCCGCGACGCCAGCAATACGGCCGCGTAGCCCCGCACGGAGGCCCGGCAGTCCGCCTAACTCCTCTTATCACACCGCGGAAAACTCCACTCAACATCCGCCTGGAGGCCAACGGGGATTTTTAAACCGTTACCGACCGAAATATTTGGCTAAACCCACCCGTCCCCCATTTGCAGTTGAGCCCAGCCCTTCGAGTCTGCCGTGAAACAAGGAAGAACGGGCTCCATTTTGGGTGGGACTAACAACAACAGCTACATCCAAAGAGACCGACGCTAAATAAATATATTATCCGCCGCTGGATATCCGCAAAAACAAGCCGAGATTTTAATTTGCGACACCATAAACACCTCTGTACAGTCGAGCTACAGACCTGGTCGCCGTTTAATCCCATGATTTTTCACATTTTGTCGAAAACGCACAAGTTGTTCTTACCTCAGAATGGTAGCTGCAGAGATGGCTGCATTGCATATATTAACATAATCTACCTAGCAACACGCCAGAGCGCGGTATCTGATTGGTGGCTGTAAACTTTGGCGCAAAGGCACTGTAGACCGGTTTTAAATCAATATTTGACCAGTCGTGTCGATATTCTCATTACTGTAAGTGGTTTTGCTTTAGGACTAAAGCTATTGTCTACCTCTTTTAAAACAGTGTGACATCATTTTCAAATTGCAGCAACCCATATGCACAGCCAATCAGAAAATTTTTATCCTGACGTTGTCCAATCACATTTAAGTTACTGTGAAAAAGATTTTTACTCTTTCAAATGCAAAAATCCGTCTGATTTTAATTTATGTAACGAGCCCCTTTATATTTTATTTTATTTTTGTTTAATTTTAATTTTATGTGACATATTTGTATCACATTATTGGTACAAAAATGGTCTGAATGTTAATTATTCTCTTTTTACGCCTACTGATCATATTTACAAACAACTGGATTTTCCTCCATTTTGCAAATTTGGTCAATAGTAAAAAATATATATATATAAACGAAAAAACATTTAGTCAGGTAAAAAAAAAAGTGGCTTCTTTAAATTTTACAAGTTTAGCTTTATCGCTAAAAACAATGCAAATATTTACATTTAGTAATCATTTTTAAATAACCAAGGTTGAGTAGTATATTTTTAGTGTTCTGGGTAAGGTAGTAAGAAGATTCTTAAAGTAACCACAAAAGGGAGCCAAACATTCACATATACGAAATAAATAAATGAAAATAATCAATGGGATAATGGTTAATCAAGAATAAAGAAAATCATAATTCAACCCATAAAAACAATGCTGTGATGGTTTATAAAGCTGATTTTACTTAGGGACTTTATAGGTACATTTCCCTTTATTTTTTGCTCTAGATTTTATTTCAAATAACTCCAGGGATTTACATGAGGTACAATCACATCATTAACTAGGGGCTGAATTTTCCTTAAGCAGCCAGAAACTCAGCAACTGGACCCTGAGCAGTTCAGTATATGCCTTCTTTAAATAAGCTGCAGAAGTGAAAAAATAAACCTTCAGAAAGAATATCCGATTCATTAGAGGGTCGTCATCAGGCCGAAGGGAATTTGTGTGAAATTCATGATGCAATAATGAATTGCTCTCATTTAATGACAAAATCCCTGAAACCTGAAATGTGCAGAAATATTTGATTCCTCTAAATCAGGACTGAATGCATTTTTGATCCAAGAATCTGTAACATACATATATTTTCAAATTTTTTCTTTTATTAAATGCTTCTCATGAGTTGTGTTTCCGTTGACGTCCCGTGAAGCACTTTGCTTTGCCTTTTATAAATAATTTTTTCTTGCCTCTGACTGAGAAAGCAAACAAAAACATTGCAACTAATAAAAAGAAGGCTGAATGAGGGCATAAGTCTATACAACATGAGGAGAGGACATAAGGCAGCTAAAATAAACTCAACATCAGAGAAATACAGGATAGACTGATATTTTTGCGTCAACAAAGTTTCATAATATCAACATATTTTAAGGCCAAGCCTTTCCAAATTGCAGTCCCCCCATATGAGAAACAGACATATTTGTTTTTAATCATTCAGCATAGCTAAAATATAGTAAACTTTGCTCTTTGTGCTTTATTTAGACTCTTCTGGGCAGCAAGGTGTAACATTTTTATTCTAATAATGAATGTAAATGATGATTTTAGCAACACTACATTGATTAAAGGTAAATAGCAAGTACACTGCTACTGATTTTAGAAGAGTGATGTGAAACTCTTTATAACTTTATGTTTAATTCACAAGAAAACAATCATTTGCAGTATTATTATGATGTATTAAATTTGAGCAACAATTCTCCTTTAAAAAGGAGCTTAAGGTTTTTATTTTAAGTCCATTCTGCGAGACAAAGCACTAAATGAAAAGCTAACGACTCAATGCCATTTGCCAAGCACTATGAAGCAAGTTTGATCAGATGGACCAAAATATACAAAATAAATTGTTTCCAAATCAACTTTTTCAATCATTAACTTTTGAAACTTCAGCTAAACTTGCAGTTGTGTGTCTGCGTCTGGTGAATGTTTGGTTGAATCCAGAACATTTTATGAACAGAAGTTTAAAAATAAAATGACTCAAGTAAAAGTAAAAAGTGCAACTTAGTAAAAATATTCCTAAAAGTGCATTTATTTAAAAGAGATTTCTCAAGTAAATGTTTTAAAAGGCAGTGAGATTCCACCGCTGGCCGCCTGGCGGCGCTGTTCCCTCTCAGCTCGGATGGAGGGGGGGCGTAAACGAGGGAGGAGGCAGTAAAGGGAGAGAGGAGCCACAATTTGCCCACATTTCCCCAGCAGTCCGACACCGAGGCGCTTCCCAGTCCGTGAAACAAGCAGAACCTTTTTATTTGGACCCGTTCGGTTGAGCCGGCAGGGGGGAAAAAACTCCCGAACCGTCCCCGGGACCCGGTTTGTTTGCTCCTGGTTCCTGCGCGCAGGAGCAGCTGAGGGGGATCTAAGTTATTTCCAGCGGATCAGGAGAGCCTGGAAGATGGGTTCAGTCCCTGCGCTTTCTGCCCTGGTTTTGGGCATCGTGGTTCCAGCCCTGGCCGGATACATGGAGGTAAATGTTCCCGATTCATCCCTGAGACTCAAAAGCAAATTACAAAAATCTGCGGAGCCACAATAATAAGCGACCCATTTGCGCATTATCATTATACTTCTTGCCAACAAGTAGCCCGATCTGAGCGCCTCTGTTTGCTGTTTACACATTCCTTGTTGCTTCAACTGAGCTCCTAAAATGATACGAGAGGAGGTTTAATCATTAATCAGCTCGCTTTCCAGGTCATTCTCCGCCTCATTCCTGAGCTGTGATTGCAGTTTTGTCTGCGAGTCGGGAGACAATGTGCGGCCGGGGCGTCCGGGTTGAATAACAGCAGAGTTTTGCTGCAGAGATCAAATGAAAGACGCTCCGAGGGGCCTGCAGGGGACACAATGGCTTCTGCAGCGGATCATAAACCCCGAAGAGAGGAAATCCTTCACCTCGGGTCCAAAATGTGGCTTTTCCTGCCTCCTTCCTGCAAAGTGACTCATTATTTCTGATTAACTTCGGTTCTGTGGATGGTGGCAGTTTATTTACTGCACAATTCAGTTTATTTATACAAATAAATGTCATTTTTAACACTTAGAATCAGGCCAATCCAAACACAGGCACATTTTAGTTTGGCTTATTAGTTCAAATGTAACCTCTAAATCAATAGACGTGTTAATATTCACCATGAAATTGCGCAAAAACAAATTCGCTAAACAGAAAAACAAAAATTTCGAAAAAAAAAATCTTGCTTTTGTTCTTAGATGGAGTCAAAACTGCAACGGAAACACTTTTTTCCCTCGCGCGTCACGAGTCTAGTGATCAACGTCCGATGTTTACTACCGGCGAAAACAACGAAGAAGACAACCGGAAGTGGGAGGAGAATGATGGCGTCAAACACAAACAAATCGATTCAGTGTGACTTTAACTGTTTTTCATATTCAACGGAAACACAATTGTAAAACTGTCGAATGTGGAACTAGAAGTTATTCATCAATATTAAGGAATTATTCACTTAAAACAATCTCTTGATGAAAGGTTAACTGTAAATCAGTTTTGTCTTATTTCAAGTGTACTAAGATATTTTGCACTAGAAACTGGACCAAAAATACCTGGTAAGATTTTGTGTTTTTGCAGTGCAGATAGGAACATTAACAAAATTTTTTTGTCTCAGTCGAACAGTGGCTTTGGTGATGTGAGTCATTGAACCTTCTGAAGGGCGGAAATGTAAACATTTTCAGTATTTTCGATCATATCTGTCATGTTATGATCTCAGGTCACGTCTGAACCTGCGCAGTCAACAATAGTCATCCTCACTCAGTGACGCTGTTCGTATATTTAGCGGCTTTTCAGACACAACAATCAATATTGATCAGAATTGGATTCGGCAGATCAGGCTTTTAAAAAATCGGTGATCGAATAGAAAACTGCAATTGGTGCAAATAAAATGTCTGAATATTTTACACTGTCAGTGTTATCACACCAAAAGCTGAACGTCATGTTTTTAAATCTAAAATAAACACATTATTGTGTAAAAATGATCAAACGTTTCAAAATTTGATGCTACTGTGAAATATGGTTGCATTATGGAGCTGAAACGTTGCCAGGGTTTTCTCACACGTTTTGCCAGATTGTTATTCTACTCTATGGAGAAAACGTTCTGCTAAATGAGCGTTTCCTGCTCATTTCGACGAGGAAAGCATCAACATTTTACCAGAAAAATTTACACATGGAGGTGAAAGCTGAAGCGCAAAGCAGCTTAAATTAAAATGTTTGTGAATATTTTAAACTTGGAGTTTGTGACGTTATAAAACACGCCGGTTGTAGCTTTTTGTAGTCAAATGACAGGAGAAACAGTGATGTAATGGATATCAAAACGCTAATTCAATCACATTAGTGGCCATTTAAACTTTGATTGGTGCTGCTGTGGTAAAATATCATAAAGCTATTCAGTTTTTTAAGAGGATTTTGCCAAAATCCCCTTCAAATAAAAGTGGAAATATTCTTATTTCTTTACAATCTAACATTAGTGAGTCATTCAAACTTGTTTTCAATCTATTTTTGCCTCTTAATTATCAAGTGGAATAAAGAAGCAAAAATTGCGAGCAAACAAAAACAATTAAAATAGTCAACTGAATAGAATAGTGAAGATGCTGATAACAACCTGGGAAAGTAGATACTTTTTTTTCTCAAGCTTGATGAATAAATAAAATCTGGATGTCCTATTTTCCTGCTGCCTCATCACTGCAGACTCTTGCAGAGTTTTGCGTGTGTCTTGGTGCAACAATGCTGCCATTTCCACAACAAACAGCCCCCACCCCGAGGGCAAACAGTCTTTTTTCTGCTCAAACGTGACAAACATTTTCAACGGGATGCCTCCTCCTGACTCTGCTTATCAAGCTTCTTCCGCTACGAAAAAATAGAAAAGTTGGCGGCTCAGCCATTTTGAGGTTGCGAAGGTGAAGATTGTGTTTGGAGGCGGCGTTGCTGATTATTATGTCCACAATAAAATCCGTGTTGCTGCAAAGAAAGGCCACAAACCTTCAGGTCGACGCTGCGGATTCTCCTGAAATGAAAAATGGTGTAAAATTCACGTGGCTGTATGGTAGGAATTCATTTGATTGTATCCAAAACGAGGCTTTTTTCTTTTGTTTTTACTTTCGGAGGTTATGCATTCCTTCCTTTTAACGGTGGCAGCCATTCGGCTCAGAGGTGGAGGCAGTAGAGAGAAAAAACTTGATATTTAGGAAGCTTTGGGTTACAAAGCTACATGTCTGATTGTGTCAAATGAACAAAATAAAAGCTCAAATTTAAGTTTTAGGTGGTTTTCACACTTGGTCGTCCAATAGATTCAGCTCACTTGGGATTCAAGTTGCAACATTTGTTACATTTTCCGCTGGTTTGGTTCTCTTTCACACTGCAAACGATCTAAACTCTTTGGAAAAACAGTTCCCCTCTTTGCCTGCATCAAAAATCAGTGACGAAGACACTGACAGCAACTTCCGTCTTCACAACATGTAAACAAAAACAGAGTAGCATCAGATCTGTAGGATTTCACTTCTGGTTTTTGGTGAAAGACCAGGAGCCATTTCTCTTGCTAGCGCTGCTAGTTAGCTTGTTTTGGTTTTATTTACCCAGAATGCCTTGTGTTGTAGTCCACTTCTTGCTTTCGGAGCGCTCTCCAGTCCACCTGGCGTTCACATGCGCATTCAGACCGAACCCAGATCTGAGGTTTGTAGGCAGATTAGAGATTCAAACCTCCACAAACAAATCAGATTTTCTACAAACGAACTGGAGTCTGAATAAAGCGGATTAAACGAAGCCGGTGTGAACGCAACATTAGGGGGAACCTAAAAGCAGGAAGTGAACTAAACACAACCAGAAACAAACATACGTGTGAATCTGGGAAGAAAAACAGTTTGTGGGGTTTTATTTACCAAAGACAACAGAGAGAAAGAAGGAAGTTGCTCTCAGTGTCTAATTCAGAGATTTTTATGTCTTTGGCAGTTGGGGAAAAAAAAACATGAAGTAGCATTACCACTGAAACGTACATGCATTCACACACATTTATACCAACTGAGTAAATGATCTGCCTTCTTTAAACATTGAATAATGATTTGTATGCGTTTACTACCCAAATTCTTCAATGTATTTAATAAATTAACTTTTTCTTTTAATGTTTTCACACTCTCTCCTCATATATCTTTTGGATATTTATGGTTTTCATGTTGTTTCCTTCAGTGGTTTTTGATTCAGCGCCCCCACAGGTGAGGAGGGGAACAGGTTGCAGCTTGGAAGCAAACCTCCGCAGTTGAAAATGTAGAAAACGCAGAAAATATGAGATTACTGAAGCTAAAGCTGTTAAAATATCCAGCTTTTGTCTGCAGGGATGCTCCGTAAAGCTTCAGTCCGTCGTAGTTCCTGCTTTTCGGTTTGAGATTGATCCCACTTCTTCAGCTGCCTGAACAGTTTGGCTGTGGCTGCTACCTGCGAAGATCAGCCTGAACTTTTGTTTTTGCAGCTGGAGGTTTTAGCGCTCAGCTATGTGAGCATGTGTGCTGGATTTCTTTATCCAATAACGCAACAACCACTGATGTTTAGTTTAATCTGGCTTTCTTGTGGCAGCTGGATCTCTGCGGGATGCAGGCTGGTGTCAGGCATGCGGTTGCGTCACTCTGAGGTATGCGGCTCCATCAGCCCAGACAGAACATTTGGGACGGTTAATGCAGACCGCACATTTTATTTTGTGCTGAGTTAAGCTGCCGAGGATTAGCTCCAACATTTCTGACTCTTATGCAACATAACATTACATTTTTCTGCTGAATATTTTTGAAAAACAAATCCTCCCAGTTGGGTTTTTTGTTATTTGTTTTTTTTTTAAATATAAACATAATGACATCTGCAAACATTTAAAGCCACATTTTGTTTCATTATGTGTTGCAATGATGATCAGACTAAAAAAGCTACATTTCACCAATCAGTCGTCTGGTTTTCTTGCATGGCTTGGTGAAAAAATCAGATACTTTTATTTACAGTTCATTAGTCAAGACTCCCACACTGCAAAAACTCACAGAAAAGTATTTTTGCTAAAATACAAACAAAGCAAAACACAGGAGCTTGTTTTAAATAAACAATTCCTTGAAACTGATGAAAAAATATTAGTTACATGTCAGATTATTTTACTGATAGATGCATTTTTCTCATGTTTTAAGTTAAATAATCTGACAAGGGATTTGTTTGCCTAAAACAAGCTTCTATGTTTTGTTTTATTTTAAGTCTACTTGGATATTTGTGTTTTTGCAGTGTAGTCAGTCTGGAATTGCAACAATCAGTTTCATTTTTTAATTTTTTTTAGTTTATTACAATCTTACAAAAGGTTAGAAGTTATGCTTTGGTGCATAAACATCAATAATTTAATGACTTCATCCCCAAAATGTTTTGCCTTTATTTACGAGCTTTACCTCATAATTTTATCACTTTATTCTCGTAATTTTATTACTTTAATCTCGTAATTTCATGACTTCCTTCCTGAG